GTTTTCTGCATGAACATATTTTGTTCACTTTAGTCTTAGGGGCTTGAATTTTTTGGTGTTATTCTGAATGGTATGTATTAAAATTTTATTTTATAATAATTGCTATGTATGGCAATGTAATTGATTTTTGGATATTCACCTGTATCTTACCAGCCTTGCTAAAATCACTCATTAGTTCCAATAATTTATCTGTTGACCTTTTTGGATTTGCTAAGAACACAATTATATAACCTGCTTACAATGACAGTTTTATTTCTTCCTTGCTGAATCTTAAGCTGTTTCTATGTAATTTTCTTGCCTTACTGTGCTAGCAAGGATGGCCAGTAATGTTCAAGCGGACTTCCTTATTTCGTTTCTGATTTCAAAGGAGAAAGCTTTAACATTTTCCCATGAGGCATAGTATTTGCTCTGGGTGTTTTTTTGTTTTTTTTTTTATAATACATCGATTATATATTTTTAAGTTATATTAAGGAAGATCCTTTTTATTTATAGTTTGAAAGTTTCCTTATTTCCTCCTCTTTTTAAAATTGTGGTAAAATATAAGGGTAAGTCAGAAAGTATTGCTACTTGGGTTCCAGCAGAAGAGGATATCTATCTCCTTCCATCTGTCTATCTATCTATCTATGCTTCAAATGGGTAAATCATGCCAGAAAACTTTATTTTTAATTTTTTTTTCTGATTTTCTCAATTTCCCAGTTAAAAATGTCTTCATCTCTCAATTTGTTCTGCTCCCTAACTAGATTTAATTTTTTTTAATATTTAGAAGGCTTTCCTCTGGCCAACACCTGTGCTATATACTGTGCCAAAGGAAGTGTAAAGATAATAAGCTATTGATTGAAAATGACATTTTCCATTTTGATTCATTTCATATGTTGATCCAAATAGTCCTATAAAAATAACATGGTAACAACATGCTATCTAAAAAAAATAATGTTTTATATGACACCTTTGGGACCCATCATCCAAAGCTTTAATTATAAACCTGTCAGTCAAACATGGTGTGATACCTGGCTATTTATCTTAAAAATTACATAATTTCCGAACAAAATGATAATATTCTTTTCTTTCTTTCTTTTTTTTTTTTTTTAACTACTCCCCCTTTTACGTTATAAAACTTATACCTTTACAGTTGTCACAATCACAATTAGTCATGATAACAGTCACTCACTATTGAATCATAAGAGTCTTATCCCAGTCTCCTTTCACCAGATGGTGAAAGATGGAAACTATTCAGTGGGGATTCTACCTTCCCCCACACGCTCTGAAACTAAACTCTCTCTTGAAAACTTGTAAACCAACTTTGTGCTTTCATAGCCCCCTCCCCACCCAATTTAGGCAGCCAATGTCTAAGTTGCCCGTCCTTATCAACCTTGTATACAGAGGGAATAGGATTGATCCTTGATGTGAAGACCCCTTCCCTCTAAGTTAGTATTTGGTTGCATAATGATTATGAATCGGGCTGCTAACCTCAGGGTCGGCAGTTCGAAACTACCAGTTGTCCCGCGGGAGAAAGATGAGGCTTTCTGCTCCCGTAAAGATTTACAGCCTCGGAAACCCTGTGCAGGGTCACTATGAGTCAGAACCGACTCCACGGTATTTAACAACAACAACATAAGTATAGGTCAAGTTCATCAAATTGTAGCAATTTATACTTGTTTCACAAGGGCATATTTTATGGTCTCAAATTAGAAAACGTGTATGACAGAGTTGTGACCTTTCCCTGCACTTATCAGTCTCTGTGTGGACAAACACACTGAAAAGTCAGACTGCATAAGAACCCAGCAACAGGTTTGGAGGAAGACTCCTTAACAGCCCGTGATACGCAAATGATACAATCTTGCTGAAAGACAGTAAAGATACTTTTAACTGTATCCTTCTCCAGGCTTCTATGCCAGGTTGTTGTGTTTTTAAAAACCCAATCAAGGCGTATTTACTGTTTTCATGGTGCTTCATTCTGTTCTGCCCCCAAATACTTTTTATATTTCTTTTTCTACAAGTCTGCTAATGACAAAGTTTTGCCAATTGTCATTTGTTTGTTTCTAAAGAAGACTTTACATTTCAACTTCATTCTTAACTTTTTGTTGTTGTTGTTGAGTATAGAATTCTCATTGGCAATTATTCTCTTCTGTCTCTTTAAGGGTGTTATGCCATTGTCTTTAGTTCCCATTGTTGAAAAACCAGATGTCAATCGGTAATGATTGCTCTTTTGAAAATAAGCGTTGTTTTGTTCTCCCCTCTGCTCTTTTAAAATAATTTATCTTTACATTTTATTTTCAGCAATTATCATGTGATTTATACTCATATCAGCTATTGTTATACAGCTGTACGTTGAACAATAAAAGGGGGCTCCAGAGACTTCGTGGGAAAATGTCATGATCTTTTCATCTTATTTTTCCAGGAACTTTTTGCTGTCCTCTTCTATAACTTCATTATCAGTTATTGCTATTTAACAAGCTTAACCTCAGAACGTAGTGGCTTCAAACAACAATAATTTATCTCGCCCTCAAATCTGCTGTTTAAGCAGAGCTCCATGGGCAGGGCTCAGTTCTACCCTCCTGGTCTCAGGCTGGGCAGCTGGACTGGAGGATCCACATCTCCATTTCCAAGATGGCTCATTCATATGACTGGAGCTCATTCAGAGCTAAGGGTTTAGGGATAAAGGTCTTCTTGATTGGCTGCCTAAAATGAGGGGGGGGGCGATAAAAGCACGAAGTGACTGGCTTACAAGTTTCCAAGAGGAAGTTTAGTTTAAAAGCGTGCAGGGGAAGATAGAGGAACCACTGAATAGTTTTCTTCATGTCTAGACAGTCTGGTAAAAAGAGATGGAGATAAGATTCTTATGATTCAATAATGAGTGATTGTTATCATGACTAATTGCTACTGTCACAACTATAAAGGTAGAAGTTTTGTAACGAAAACGGGGGAGTAGTTAATCTTACAGTCCAGAAACAGAGGCCCCTAGGACCATCAAGGGAGAAGAGTACAAGCAGAATGTGGGGCTGTATCCAGAGAAGCAGCGTCACCAGAGATGGAGGCAGAGATGAGGACGTGGAGATAGAGAGCAGCTGAGGACTCTAGACTCATGGAAAGAGAGGGACTGAGTGCTGGCAGCCAGGAGGCAGGCTTGCAGAATGTGCCCTTAGGTTGTTTAAATTATTATATATTCCTGAGTGTTTTTGTGTACATCTCCCCCACCTCCCCCCCCCCCAAAAAAAAAAAAAAAAAAAAAAAAAAAAAGAAAAACAGAGGGAATGGAAGCAAATACTGTTGAATGATGATGCATGGAGGAGATTGTAATCATTTCAATGAAACAATGACGTAAAGCCTATGTTCTCCCATGTAAACTATCTCTCAGTTCACAAAAAAAAGTCTTCTCTGTGGATTACTTCAGCGTCCTTATGAAATGATGTCTGGGTCCCAAGAGAAAGAAAGTAGAAGCTTCCCGTCTCTTAAGGCCTTAGTCTGCAAACAGAGAGAGTATCACATCTACCACATTCCATTGATAAAGCAGTTATGTTGTCGTTGTTAAGTGCCATTGAGTCAGTTCTGACTCATAGCAATCTCGTATGGGGTTTCCAAGGAGCAGCTGGTGGGTTTGTACTGCCGACCTTGTGGTTTGCAGTCCAGGGCTGATCCTACAGCGCCATACCAAGAGTCCAAAGCAGTTGTAGAGCCAGATTAAGTGAGAAAGAGGCACAGATTTCCTCCATTCCATGGTAGGAGTGCCAGAGAATTTAGGGTCATGTTTTGTAACTGCCGCAAGGTGCCGCTAAGTGGATTTCTGGCTTGCTTATTTTGAGGGAGTAAGAGTGAATATCCTATCTTAGTGGAATAATTTTTCAAAATCAGTTTTGCAAAGTTCTCAGACATTTACATCAAATATAGTTCTAGCCAACTCCTTTTCTCTCTGCTTCCAGGGCACCACTTATATGTATATTAGATCTTTTCATTATATGTCCCGTGTCTCTTATCTTTCCTTTATTTCCCATCCTTTTTTCTCACCAGTATTTATTTTAGTTAGTCATTTATTTTCCACTTTACCAAGCATGATGTCCCTTTTCAGGTACTGGTCCCTCTTAATAACTCCGGACATGTTATTAGAAGGGACCAATCCTTGGAGAAGGATGTCATGCTTGGTAAAATGGAGAGTCGGTGAAAAAGAGGAAGACCCCCAACAAGACAGATTGGCACAGTGACACAGCAGTGGCTTCAAGCATAACAGTTGTGAGGATGGTACAGGGCCAGGCAGTGCTTCGTTCTGTTGTACAGAGGGTTGCTCTGAGTTGGAAATGACTCGTCACAACAATAACAAATGTGCTAGAGAGGGGCCCTGGCTGCTAGTCAGAAGGTTAGCAGTCTGAACCTACCCAGAAACTCTGCTGAAGAAAGACCTGGAGACTTGGCTTTCTTCAAGATTCCCAAGTCCCTTGCAATCAAGTCAATTCTGACTCTTAGAGACTCTGTTGGGCAGAGTAGAACTGCCGATAGGGTTTCCAAGGCTGCACATCTTTATGAAGCAGACTGCCACATCATTCGCCCAGGAAAGTCTGGTAAGTTTGAATTGCCAGCGTGCCCAGTAGTGCCAAGCACTCAACCACAGTGGTCCTCTGTCGAGGTCCCAGACTGAGACCCTGAGGGTAGTTCTCGTCCGTCACTTGGGTCACTATCAGTTGGAATGACTTGATGGCCCTCAGCAGCAACATCTGTAAGGGGTCTCTCAAATGAGGTAGTCAAATTAGTGGATATGGCCAGGCTTTGATAAACTATTAAAGCACCATATAATGGTACACACACCCCCCCCCCAAAAAAAAAAAAAAAAAAAAAAAAAAAAAAAGAAAGGAACTCTTTTCAGGAAAAAAAGGAAGTCTAGACTCTTGAGGATGTGGCTGTGCAGGTGGAGCTGGTCAGTCCACAGCGTAAGCAGGTCAAGGCCTGCTCGTGAGTCCCAAGGCCTGGCGTGCCTCACTTCTGTTCCTTGCTCCTTTGTCCTGGCTCCACAGGCTCTTCCAGCTGGAGCCAGAGGCTGACGCCCTGATGAATTTCCAGCATTATTCTTCCCAGCTGCCGCCCTTCTACGAGAGCTCGCTTCAGGTGCTGCAAGTGGAGGTCCTGCAGCAGCTGACAGACCTAATCCGCAGCCACCCCAGCTGGTCAGTGACCCACGTGGCCGTGGAGCTGGGGGTCCGCGAGTGCTTCCATCACAGCCGCATCATCAGGTGGGCAGAAGACGCGCGTGGACACTGTGTGTGCACCTGCATGTGTGGAGCGGGCGCGGGTGGGAGCCTCTCCGTCCTGCCTCCGATCCCTTCAGTCAACTCAAAGGTGGCCCAGATAGTGTGATTTCAAAAGGAACAGCATGGCCCTTAGGTTTGAACATAAGAATGCTGAATCGAGTCAGAAGGAAAAGTATCACGTTTGTAAGGACTGCCCAGTGTTTAGGCCCGTACTACCATTTCACACCCACCATGAAATTCTGTCCTCATGACACCTTCATGAAGTCTGGCTACCCATCCTTGAAGTCTCCTCTGAAAGATCCAGTGGCCCTTCTGGAAGCTGGATCACTTGCCTTCATGTAGTCAGCAGATACACTGACGGGTGCCCCCTGGTTAGGGTGTGGAGCCAGGCCCGTCCACAGGGCTCGTACCACTGTGCCCTCTTGTCCTGAGGTAGCCACACCTCTGGTTCTCCATTACAGGCAACTCTCCCAGGCCAAAGCCCAGAACTTCATGCACTTCATAGTTTACAGGCGTGTTCTTGAGCATTGAAGTTTTCCTTCTCTGTGGACAGTTCTTTAGTTACTGTCTGATGGACAGTTCTGTTCATTCACTAGGGCAGACATGGCAGGTATGACTGTTTGTCTTTTTTTATGTTTTATTCTAGATAAGGATATTGAAGCCCCAAGAGGTTAAGTGACTTGCCCGAGGTTAGTGAGATTTCGGCTTTCTGTGACCCTTTTGATGCCACCCCACTGCCCTCTTCACACTAGTGTGGCCCTGGGCATGTCTTATCCAGGGGTTTGGATTCAGATCACACCAAGTGCAAATGAGTTCCAAATTTGCCTTGAGTTTAAGCGTCAGGTTGAGCACAACATGAATGTCAGAGTACCCTAACCTCTGCTTCTGCTTCTGTACTTGGGTGTCTCAGCGCCTCTTCCTACCTGGTACCTAACCCACTCATCCCCTTGGCCCGTTCCCCACAGCTACGCCAACAGCACAGAGAATGAGGAGGGCTGCACGCCCCTGCACCTGGCCTGCCGCAAGGGCGATGGGGAGACGCTGGTGGAGCTGGTGCAGTATTGCCATGTGCAGATGGACGTCACCGACAACAACGGAGAGACCGCTTTCCACTATGCTGTTCAGGGTGACAACCCCCAGGTGCTGCAGGTGAGCAGGGGTGGAGGGCCAGGACCACTGCATGCTGGTGACACATCACTAAGCCCCTGAGCAGATGAATGAGCTGGGGATAGGAAGGCGTGGGTGAGCTTCAGGAGTGTTACGGAACCAAAAAAGTCAAACCCACTGCCCTGTTGTACTATTGTCAGCTCCTAGGCAAGAATGCGTCGGGCGGCCTGAACCAGGTCAACAACCAGGGGCTGACCCCGCTGCACCTGGCCTGCCAGATGGGGAAGCAGGAGATGGTTCGCGTGTTGCTGCTCTGTAATGCCCGGTGCAACATCCTGGGTCCCAGTGGTTACCCCATCCACGCCGCCATGAAATTCTCTCACAAGGGGTAAGTGCTCCCCGGCGAACAGGGGTCCTCACAGAGTGTGGGAAGCCCCTCATTAGCACAGGGGCTTCAGCTCCACCAGCCTCAGTGCTGAGTACCAGGGGTGGGCCGGCACAAAGAAGGAGATGCAGGGCAGATGTGTAGGCACGTGCATCTCAGTGCAAGAAACAGAACGTTTACAATTTTCTGGTTGTTAGTTGTTAGGTGCTATCGAGTTGGTTCTGACTCCTCGCAACCTCACATACAACAGGAAACACGCCACCCCTGCGCCATTCTCAAAATCATCAGTTGCTCCATCTCACTGAGGGTCACCCTCTCTTTCACTGACCCTCTATTTTACCCAGCATCATGTCCTTCTCCAAAGACTGGTCCTTTCCAATGATACGTCCTAAGTATATGAGACGACGTCTCTCCATCCTTCCTGCTAAGAAGCATTCTGGCTGTATTTCCTCCAAGACAGACTTGTCCATTCTTCCAGCAGTGCCTGGTATATTCAGTATTCTTCATCAACACCATAATTCAAAGGAATCAATTCTTCAGTCTTCCTTCTAGCTTTCATATGCACATAAGGCAATTAAAACTACCACAGCATGACTCCAGCACACTTAATCCCGCAGCGTGATTAACTTTGCTCTTTAGCACTTTGAAGAGATATTTTACCGCATATTTGCCCAGTATAATATTATAATTTGATTTCTTGACTGCTCCTTTCATGGGCATTGATTGTGGATGCAAGTAAAATGAAATCCTTAGCAATTTTAATCTTTGCTGCATTTTCTATGCTGTTGCTTATTGGTCCAGTTGTGAACATTTTTGTTCTCTTCCTATTGAGGTGAAATCCATATTAAAGGCTGTGGTCTTTGATCTTCATTAATAAGTGCTTTAAGTGCTCTTCTCTCTTTCAGCAAGCTAGCTTGTGTCATCTGCATGTGACAGGTTATTACTGAGCCTTCCTCTGATCCGGATACCACACTCTTCCTCATCTAATCCAGCTTCTCAGGTTATCTGCTCCACGTACAAGTTGAATAAGTATGGTGCAAGAATACAACCCTGGCGCACATCTTTCCTGATTTTAAACGATATTTTTCTGGAATGCAACATCATTTCAGACCACAAGTTTCCTTCTCCCAAACTGGAGAAAAACGATCCTAGCCTTTCCTGGGCCCCTGTTTCCCAGTTCCCCCAGGTGGTGCTCGGGGCTGGAGTCTCAGACAACCCCAAGGCTTGGAGGGTCCAGGCAACTTGTATCCACTTCCATGGCGGCCTCTAGCCTGATCTGAACAGCTTCTCCATGGTGACGGGGTCCTGCAGCCTCTGCTTGGCTCAGAGCGCAGGAGTGCTTGGCAAGATGGCCTGGGCCCAGCTGCTTACACACTGCCTTCCTGTCCTGATGGTGTCCTGCTGGGAGGCAGGGGCCAGGCTGCTCTGATCTGGGGAGAACTGGAGCTTTCTCAGGGAGCCCTGGTGGCACAGCAGTTAAGTGCTCAGATGCTAACCCAAAGGTCGGTGTTTCAAACCTACCCAGCAGCTTTACAGGAGAAAGAGCCAGTGATCTGCTTCCATAAAGATTACAACCAAGGAAGCCCTCTGGCTGTTTTAACCTATTCTCCATCCCTAGACACAGTGGTCAGTGCTGGCTGTACAGGGATGAATGAAGGACAGGGGACATACATGTCAACCTCACAGCAAGAAGAGACCCCAGAGAGTGTTTTTCTTTTCTGGGCTCCCCCTTGTTATTCCTGTAGGGCTGCCGTTTGCCCTACAGGGTCAAAACCTGGCTCAGTCTCCTCTCCTTCATTCTCCCTGTATTGTGTGTCCTTGAGTCGATTTCACAGCATCACGACCCTACACAACAGAGTGGAAGCGCCCCATAGGTTTACCGGCTGGGACCTTTGTGGGAGCCCAACACCAGGCCTTTTCTCTGACTGACGGAGCTGCTAGTAGTTTAGGATAGCTGACCTTTTGCTTAGCAGCCAAGCACTTGTTGCCCCACCAGGGCTTGCCTGATTTCCCCATACCTGGCCACAGTGAATGAGAACTTTGAGGAAGACTTGACTGAGTCATTGGAGAAAAACAAACACCTTACCTCCAAGAGCCAGGTAGCCTCCAAATGGACACCGACTGGCTGTGATGTGCTTGTCCACCCACTGGGTCTCACAACACCCTGCTCGTGCTGGGCTCCAGCAGCCTGCTAGCACCTTGCCCAGTGTACTGTCTCCTCAAATACCCCAGGCCACATGTGACCACACAGCGAGCACATCACTGAACATACACAGTGAGTCATCCCAGACCAGAGCTTGCTTCCTGCTGCCACGCTCCTCATAGGACCCAGCAGGGAGAGTCTGTCACCACCCACAGGTTCTAAGACTCGCCTGTGACCAGAGACTGTGCTATAGCTCTGGGAGCCCCTTTGCGGTTTACTACAAACCACAAGGTTGGTGGTTAGAGCCCACCCACACTGCAAGGGTGAAAGATGAGGCTTTCCAGTTGTGGAAAGGTTTACAGCCTTGGAAACCCTATACAGGGTCTATGAGTCAGAACACGAATAACAACACGTATTTTGATGGGGGGACATAATTCAATGCATGACAGACCCTCTGCTGCTGATCGTCTCTGATCCTTTGCACGGGGTCTCTCCTGAGGAGCTGGGGCTGGACTTCAGCCTGCATGGCATTTGCACCAGCACCAGAGTGGACGTGAGTGACTGCAATCATCTGGGAAGGCTTCCTGGAGGAGCGGGCTTGAATGTGCTTTGGGGGGTGGGGCCTCAAGACACCCCTGGCACCCATGCTCCTTGGTGTGTTTACAACTTGCTCTGCAGTTGGAACTTTCCCTGAGCAGTGGAGGGCACGCCGAGTCAGGGCCTATCGCAATGCCAGGCCCGCTCCAGCCTCTCGTCACTGCCTCGGCCCCTCTCTCTGCAGATGTGCGGAAATGATCATCAGCATGGACTGCAACCAGATCCACAGCAAAGACCCTCGCTACGGAGCCAGCCCCCTGCACTGGGCTAAGACTGCAGAGGTAGGTGGAGTCTAAGGGAGTGGGCGGGGCCTGCATGCTTAAGCTGCTGGCAGGAAGAGGCTCCTGAGAAGACCTTGAGGGTGACATTTGGGGGGCTGATCTCATGAGGGGCCCATAAGCAGAGGAGCTCACGGAGAGTTGGGATATGCTCACTGTGTGTGGGGTTCACCCCTCTGAGCCTGTGTCTTCACCTGGCTCTGGAGTCATCGGGAAGACTTCTTGGGGGTGGGAACCTGAGTGTGAAGTCAGTGAGGTCATGCATGAGAAAATTCTCGTTTGTCAAGTGCTTCATGAACAAAAGGTGATGTGTTGAGGATGTTGATGGAGATGATGAAGATGGTGGTGGTGGTGGTGGTGGTGGTAATGGTAGTGGTGGTGATGATGGTGGTGATGGTAATGGTGGTGGTAGTGATGATGGTGATGATGGTAGTGGTGATGGTGTTGGTGGTGATGGTAATGGTGGTGGTGGTGATGGTAGTGATGATGGTAGTGGTGATGGTGGTGATGGTGATGGTGGCGGTGGTGTTAGGTCCAGCCACACCCACAAGAGTCTGGCTAGTTATTTCCCCTGGAGTCTATCTCAAAACCACACTTGGTCCCTCTGGAATATGGACTTCTCTGGCCCTTTTGCCAGGAAGTGCAGTTCAGTGGTGCCAGGACGCTGCCTGACCTGCCCTTAAATGCCATGCCCCACAGTCGGGGTCCCTGCCTCTGCTGAGCCCCTCTCTGAAGTAGAACTAGATGCCAGGTCAGACTTAGTGTGCAGCCTTTGTCTTTGACCATCACCATGTCCCCTGAGGCTGGGACTCACATTCTATTTCACTGAAGGGGAAACTGAGGTGCAAAGGCATGCAGGCACCCCCCACAGACTCACACACCTGGGACAAGGTGGGATGGATTGGGGTTCAGGCTTGCTCTTTCTCCTGAGCCAGGCTCTCTGGGGCTGCTGGGATCTGGGGTGTTGGCAGGATCTGGGAAGGGATGACACCTTTGCAGTCCCAGGGAGTCCTCAGGGAGTAGAGCAATTCAGGGACAGGCTCCAAGGACCTGGGGGCCTCTTCCAATAGTTGGCACTTTTCCTGCTTTCTGTCCCTAGCTCTTGGGGTGCTGAGGGTGTGGGGGTCAAGATCTAAGTCCACCCCAAGATTGGGCTCTTTTTGTTGCTAGAGCTTTCTGGAGACCCAAGCCCTGAAGGCCTCTCAGGGAGGAGGGGGTGATGCTCGGTGCCCCCCTGCTCCCCATTGACAGGGGCCTGGGCCCCTCTCTCTGTCTCTTGCAGATGGCTCGCATGCTGCTGAAGCGGGGTTGTGATGTGAATAGCACCAGCTCCGCGGGGAACACAGCCCTGCACGTGGCCGTGATGCGCAACCGCTTCGAATGCGTCATGGTGTTGCTGACCTATGGGGCCAACGCTGATGCCCGTGGCGAGCATGGCAACACCCCACTGCATCTGGCCATGTCGGTGAGCCCACGCCAGTGTCCTCTTGCCCTGGGCCAGCAGGGAGAGGGGAGGACCGCAGCGCTGAGCACAAGGCTGGGTCCCCATAGTGCTCCTCTGCCTTTCCTTGCAAGACTGTGCTCAGAGCCTGCCTCCTCCTCCAGGAAGCCTTCCGTGCTCCCTCTCAGCCCACAGTAACTGTCCTTCCCCTGTACCCCAGTACCTTTTACTCCTCTGCCTCTGGTGAGAAGGAAAAAGTACACTTCTGGCTGCTGCCGGTGACCTTGGGCAAATCACATCACTTTTAGCCTCAGTTTCCTTATCTGGAAAATGGAGCTATCGATATCTACCTGGACAAGTCATTGGGAGATTAATTGGGAGGCATTTGACAACTCCCTGGTGACTGTCCAGATGACACACGTAAGTGCCTGGCCTGGGCTGAGTCTCTGAGCTCTGTCTGCATCACTATCTGGAGAAAACAGTCATTTCCAGGCTGTGAACTTTCGGAAGGCAGGGCCTGCTGACACAGTTTGGTAGCCCCGGGGAGGCGACTGTCATGCGTTTGTATTTCTGTGAGAACCTAGTTCCTGCTCTTAGTCTTTGCAGCCTGACTGTGGGGCTAATGCTCATATTCTTCAGCCCACAGCAGAGTTGGTTCCCACTCATAGTGACACAGTTTGTGAGACTGAAACTCTTTACAGGAGCAGACGGTCTCCTCTGTCGCCCAGAGTGGCTGGTGGATTTGAACCTCTGACCTTATAGTTTGCAGCCCAGTGCCTAACCCATATCACCTCCAGGGCTGTGGGTTCAGGGTAAGAAATCAAACAACCAGCTGCCATCTAGTCAAATCTAATTTATGGCATTCCCGTGTGTGTCCAAGGAGAACGGTGCTCCATAGAGTGTTCAATGACAGTTTTTTGCCTAGTGTGGCTCTGTAGGATAAGCACTGAACTTCCAGGTCAGTTTGAAATGCAAGGTCGACAGTTCAGTTCCACCAGCCACTCCTTGGAAACCCCTATAGGGTTCATGAGAACAGACTTGATGACACTTGACAAGTTTTTTCCCAAGGTACCTCTGGGCAGACTAGAATCAGCAGCCTTCCAATTAGCAACCTACGTTATTATGGAAGAGACATGGGTTCTGCAGCAATACCATATGCACACAAGTGATGGGGCGGGAGAGAGTTCTGAGATTCTAAAAGTAGTAGATTTCAGAGACATCTTGTTTTATACAAAAGGTCATTACTACAGAGGGGACTTTATTGCTCAAGAGGCTGAAGCTAAAAATAAACCCAGGGACATTTTTAGCACTGAATGGGCCCTTAGAATCATCTAGTTTATTAATCCTCAACTTGGTCCCTTCATACTCTTCAAAATTATTGGGAATCTCCAAGAATTTTTGTTTATATGGAATTATATCTACCTGTATTTACCATGGAGACCTGGTGTGGCACTGCAGGATATACATTGAACTTATCACAAGGTCTGCGGTTCAAACCCACCTGCTGCTGCTTGGAAACCCTATACAGAGGTGCTCTGAATTGGAGCCAACGTCAAAGGCACTTAGCATCTACAACAGCAATATTTACTGTTAGAAATCAGAAGTGAGAAATGTTAGAAGATGATTATCAATTTACTTTAAAACAATAAACCCAGGCCTGCTAACATAAATAACATTTTTTAAAAAGAGAGAGAAGAGTCTCATTGTGTAACATTTTTTTCAGATCTTTTTAATGCTTGGCTTCATAGCAGACATGGGTAATCTCATGTTGCCTACATTTAATCTCTTGCAGTGTATTGTTTTGTTGTAGAATGTGAAGCCAGTTTTGCCTCACACAGATAATGTAGTTGGAAAAGGAAGGAGTATTTTTGGATCACTGTGGCTATTCATTGATACTACTGCAAACCTGGAACCGTGTGGCTCTGTAGGAAAAGCAGTAGACTCTGAACCACAAGGTCAGTAGTTCTAGCCCACCAGTCGCTGCACGGGAGAAAGATGAGGCTTTCTGCTCCTGCAAAGATTTACAACTTTGGAAACCCTTTACACAGGGAACGGACTTGACAGTACTTAACAACAACTCCTTCACACCTTGATAAATGGTAGCTTCTGGAAAGTGGCGGGGTGGTCTCTGAAATCCTCAGTGGACTCTTGGTGTTTTGTTACGTTAAAGCCGTTGTCGGGTGGCATACTTTGTTTGGATCTTGCCCATACTTGTTCTTGTATCATCCTTTGGAGAATACTGGTTCTCTGATTATGCATAACTTCCAAACATTCTCCCATTTTATTATAAACCCCCAAACCAAACCAGCTGCCATGAAGTTGACTTAGATTCCCAGCGTCCCCCCCCCCCCCCCCCCAATGTGTGTCAGAGTACAGCTTTGCTCCATAGAGTTTGCATGAGCACCAGGCTTTTTCCCAAGGTGCCTTTGGGTCGATTTGAACCGTCAGCTTTTCTGTTAGTAGCCGCCAAGCCTTTACCCATTTGTGCCTCCCCCCAGAGACGCCTCATTTTATTCAACTATGAAAGCCCCTCACCTTTGTAAATATTGCCACTGATCTCATCAGAAAAGTCTGGAAATATTGGGATGCTGCTAAGCCCACGGTGGGATGTACAGGTGTGCTGAACTTCTCATTTTGGCTGGAAAGCGTGATTTTTACGATTGGCAAAAATTACCATCAGCTGTTTTCAGATCACTGTGGCTATTGATGCGACAAGACTCACGGCATTCACTTCTGAGAAAAACCATCGTCGTATCAGTTAGTTATTCAAGTCAAAATGGAGCTCCATGAAGAAAAAAAGAAGGCGGTTCGTTCATCTTACAACTCAAACAACCGCACAAGGCCCTTTCCCCAAGACTTGATGGGCTGCAGAAATGCTTGATGGATCTTCTTCGATTCTTAGCACAGAATCATCAAAAGATGCAGATGCAGGGATCAAAACTGAATAAACGTAGTCAGGTTTACTGCTCCATTAAGGCAAGGAGCCCTGGTGATACAGTCATTCAAGTGCTTAGCCACTACCCATAAGGTCAGGGGTTTGAACCCACCAGCTGTACAGTCTGCCCCTATAAAGATTGACAGCCTGGAAACCCTATGGGACAGATCTACTCTCATCTCTTTGTCTCCAGTCCTATCTCTGAGTCCGAATCAACTCTATGGCAGGGGGTTTGGATCCTTAAGACAGTCTTGTTTTGGGTTTATTTGAGGGTTTTCCTAAGTGGAATGGGCTTTTTGTTTTTAAGTTAGTGCATGGCGGCAAACAAAAGCACGCTCACTATTGGCTCTGGTACCAGACTGTTGATTTGTGGGAGCTGGCAACTGCGATTACTTTTCCTTTCTCCAGGTAGATGTCAGCTCAATGCAAAAGGCAGCTACCATCTTGCTATTTTTATGAATCGCATTTTGACCTCACAGACCCTCTGAAAGGAACGCAGACTCAGGCCCATAGACCAGTTTTTGTCATATTCATGAACCGCCTTGACAGAGACGGGTATCACAATTTCATTAAACTCAGTTAATCAAAGTCACTGAAATTAACTTTGAAGGAAATGACATAGCCCTGCCTGAAGTGGAAAACCAGCTCCATAAGTAACCAAAAAAATCCACCACTCGTCTGTCAGTTTGTCACACTGTGGTGGCTTGCATGTTGCTGTGATGTTAGAAGCTCTATGAGCTGCATTTTAAATACCAGCAGTCATGTGTGGTAGAGAGGTTTCAGATGAGCTTCCAGATTAATACAGACTAGGAAGAAGGCGAGATGGATTATTTAGTCACTGAAAATCTTACAAATAGCAGTGGACGACTGTCAGATACCAGAATATTCAATATGGAAACATGATGAAGAGCACCAGAGTATTGTCAGATAGTGCCAGAAGACCAACCCCTCAGGTTGGAAAACATTCAAAATACGACTGGGGAAGAGCTGCTGCGTTCTCAAAGTCGAGTTGACCATGATGACCTGAATGAGGAGAAACAGTTGTAAACAACAATTAATAATCAGAACATGGAACATAGGAAGTATGAATCTAGGAAAATTGAAAATTGCCGAAAAGGAAATTAAACGCCTAAAGATGGATAATCCTAGGCATTGATTGCTCTTGAGCTTAGAGAAGCTAAAGTCAATGCAAGAAATGAAGTAAAAGAGCTCAACAGAGTATTTCAAAGGACAGCTCACGACGATGAAATCAAGTATAGAACTATGCAAAGAGCTGATGTTAGAAAACCAAAAGGAAAGAGCGTGTTCAATATTTCTCAAGCTGAAAGTAATGAAGAAAAGAACTCAAGCTCAACTTGCAATGTTAAAGGATTTGGGAGCAAAATATTAAATAATGCAGAAAACATCAACAACAACAAAATGGAAGGAATGCACACAGTCACTGTACCTAAAAGAAGTGGTCGATGTTCAGCCATTTCAAGAGGTAGTTTAAAGGTACTGAGGAAACACAAGGCTCTAAGAATTAATGGGTGCAAATTGAAGTCTTCTAACAAACTAATGAAGCACTGTTGGCACTCTTATGCCAAGAGACTTGGAAGACAGCTACTTGGCCAACCAGTGATGTTCTACCATTTCAAGAGCCAATGATACTGAAGGAAGAAGTCCACGGTGCACTTAAGGCGTTGGCAAAGAATAAATCTCTGGGAATTTATGGAATACAAATTGAAATCTTTCAACAAACTGATGTCAGAAGGATCTTGGCTGAAAGCAGAGAATACCAGGAAGATATTTACTTGTGGTTTACTGAGTATGCAAAGCCTTTCGCGTGTGTGGATTGTGACAAGCTATGGACAACATTGTGGAGAATGAGTATTCCAGAATATTTAATTTCTCATGAGGAACTTGTACATAGACCAAGAGGAAACCTGGGAGGCAGTTTCTACTTTGCACACATGGAATCAACTCAATTATAATAAACAATGAAAACATATGAATCTGTGCCCGTATAAACCCTAATGGTATATGAAGAACTGTTTAGAAACCCCCTTTTAGATGCACCCTTCATCCTCTAGGAAACTGGGCCCAAAGGCAGGGAGGTGACCAGAAGTCAGGTTCTCAAGTGGCCAGTCCATGAGTTTGTCCTATAAGACAGACTCCAAGTGTTTAAAGGTATGATACTCTGTGGAGAGAAGCTAGCTGTGAAGGCTGCACCAGTGCCTGGCTACCCTGTTAGAAATGGTATTCCCTTTTCTTATTCCCTCCCTCTTTGCTACTCCTGAAAGCCATCCATAGCTGACTCTTCATTGGCCCCACGGTCCCTGAGGTGCCAGAGTGGCACTGCTTCCTTCAAGCAGGAGGTGGAGAACATGGGCAGGGAGGAGGAGGAGTCTAGTTTCTGTCTGGGCTCCTAGACCCTCACCTGTGGATACCTTTAAGCCTATTGGTCAGTCTGGGCTCCACCCTCACCTAGGGATACCTTTAAGCCAGAACTTCAAATGGTAGGCTGCAATACCAGGTGAGGTGATGGGATGGAAAGAGCCCTATTGTCTCCCCCCCCCCCCATTATGGGTAAGGTGAAGGCCAGGGGTCCTTTTCCCCTTCATTTCCTTGAGCTGGTTTCCTTTCCATCCCCAACAGAAAGACAACATAGAGATGGTGAAAGCTCTGATTGTCTTCGGGGCAGAGGTGGACACCCAGAATGACTTTGGGGAGACTCCTGCCTTCATAGCTTCCAAGATCAGCAAACGTAGGCACTGTGTACTCTGGGGCAGAATTTGGGGGCGGGCAAGGGTGTTGGGAGGTACAGGGGCTGGAGGAAGGGACCCTGAGCTCTGGCAGAGGTCTTCCTGGTCCTCATCTCATCTCAGGGTGCCTGGACCCCAGTGCGGCTGGGGCAGGGGTTGATCTCAGCCCCACGTGGGGAATTCACTGTGGGTGCATGCCCGTTTGGATGGGGCTCAGGCACATGCGCATGCGCTGTTTGTTCACACAGCCTGCCTTGGCTTCAGAGCTGTAAGATGTAGAGCCCCCGAGCCCGGAGACTGGCGCCCCCTCTGTGGGGCATTAGGGCACTGCAGAGGTTACTGCAGAGGAGGACCCGTAGTGTGTGTGTTAATAATGTGGCGGGCTTTTCAGTTACCCCATCTCCTATATGGGGTGATTGCCCATAGGCTGGCCCGCTGACCCCGTTTGAACTCAGAAGGGGACTGTGTGTTCAGCAGTTTAGAGACTTGCTCAACTGTAGGAGGGAGTGCTCTCTAGACTGGAGCAGAAGGGAAAGACTGGTCCCTCCTACTCCACTTGTCTTCTGTGGGGGTGTCCAGCCCTTCTCTGGCCCCAGGAGACTGCTCAGAATGTGTACCAGTGGAGTCAGTACTCCCCACCCCAGGGTGGAGTCGGGTTCCTAGGTTTCCCAGCTCCCCATGCATCCTGGTGACCTGGTAGATGGGAGAGGGAGCTAGGTGTAGAAAGGAGGGGTCTCCCACCTGCATCTTGACACCTTTTCTGACCCTGTGCCATCTCCCCTCCCCAAACCATGGCAAGTTGTCACCAGGAAAGCGCTCTTGGCTCTGCTGGGAACTGTAGGGGCCGACCCACTCATCCCAGGGATGCCTGTGGAGCAGGGCTCCGCCTCCGCACTACAGCCCCCCATCTCCCCGGAAAGAGCACAGCCCCTACCGATCAACCTCAGCAACTTAGGTAGGCTGCCTGCCTCCCAAGTCCCCTGGCCCTGGGCTCCCCGCAGCCCCAGTGGGAACAACACGGTTGAAGGGAGGCAAGGTCAATGGGTCAAGACTGGTCAGCCTCTGTCAGTCAGCTGAGGAGACCTGGTGGCACAGTGAGTTAAAAGTGTTGGGCTGCTAACGAAAAAGTTAGCAGTTTGAACCCACCAGCCTCTCCGCAGGAGAACAAGGAGGCTGTTTCCATAAAGATTTATAGTCTTGGAAACCCTAGGGCGTAGTTGTACTCTGTCCAAGGGTCACTCTGAGCTGGAATCGACCCAGTGGCAGTGGGTTTGGGTAGGACAGCCAGTCACCTGGACACCGGCCTTGAGAGGACATCCCCCAAAGCTCACCGTGGCCTGGAAGCCATACAGTAGGGACAGAACCTTTGGGCTTTGGGTTCCTCTCACTGTTTTGTCTCTGTTGTTCTGAGGCTTAGCGCCCACTGGTGGCCACTGAGTGACCTGCAGGCTTTCGGAGGCATCTACCCCATGTCTCCTTGGCTGCCCAGGGAGGAGAGAGATCCCTTCTCAGGTGTTGCCACCAGCTGGGTCCCCCACCATCCCGCGCCCCACTAAGGTCCCACTGGCCATGGAACCCATCTTTGGCAAGCCAGACTGTTTTGGTTACCATGAGGGGAATAGATAGCCGCACCCCTACTCCGGATAGCCCAGTCCAGCCTGGAGCTCAGCAGAGGCTGAGAACTAGTGGCCATAGTCCTCACCTGCCCAGGTCTCCAGCCATAACGTCCACCACCTTGCATTTTTATCTCAATCCACAGGCAGGCAGTCCCCCACAACAGGCTGGACGGTGGGCCTGGGGCGCATGGTCCGGTGGGTAATGTCCTGGGCTGAGAGAGCCTGTGGGCTAGCTGTTGTCTGCATTGCTGCTGTTCCTTTTTCTCAGCTGCACCTGCAGACATGGACGTCCACCTCAGCACTGTCCCTGGCTCTCAGTGCTGTCGCCTGCTCCTGGCTGGTCTCCTGCTTCTCTGGCATGGCCCCGGGGAGGGAGGCACGCCGCTTTGCAGACACGCTGCCTTGCTGCTTCTAGATTCATGTCTGGTCCCAGGTGGACCTGCCCATGTCAAAATAGGGCACCACTGGGCCAGGCTCCCGGGGGCTGGGATGCCTGTCAGCAGGGGCAGTTTGGGGTGGACATGGGATGGTGGGCCTGGGGCATGGGGGAAATGTGGATGGGTGGATTCCATCTGAGGGACTACTGAGGAAGTTTCCAGATCTGGAATGGGGACAAGGGGCATTTGAAGTACGATTAGGATCCTCTCCCCATCATTCAAGAAGTTAAGCCATAAGGAATGTCCTGCCCCTGCCCTGTGGCCACATGACCTGGGACAAGTCCTCTGGTGTTTCTGCGCCTCGTGCCGCATCAGCATAGATACATGAACAGTTTGAACTGTAAGCACAGGACATCATGGGCTGGCTCTGCGGTGTTCAGGAGGAAGATATTGAGGGGAATCCCAGGAACTTTTGGTGCAGGGTGGGGCCCTTCCCAGAGCAGCAGGCTCCCTTTGGCACTGCAACCCCTCTGTCCCAGGGGGCAGCAAGGCGAGGGGTGCAGCCGTAGTAGATTGGCTCTCGGGGCCAGTGGGCTGGCAGGGTCAGGCCAGTCCAGCACCGTCTGCCTGTCCTCCACAGAACTGCAGGACATCAGGTACATCTCCCGGGCCCGGAAGCCAGCCTTCATCCTGAGCTCCCTTCGGGATGAGAAGCGTAGGTAAGTGGCCTGCATCCTGGCCTGCGAGGTCAGTGTACCCACCTGGTTCCCAGCAGGGACTGGCTCACAGGGCACCTGGTCTGCTCCCTCACCTGTGACTGGGGTGGGGCTGGTGCCACTCAGGCTGGGTCTGGGTGCCACCCTGTCCAGGTCTGGGGAGTGGGGAGATGGCCAGTCCCACTTTGGGGGAATGTCAGTGCTGTTACGAGGCTGTTCCTGTCTCCTTGGCCCCACACGCTTCCTTAGCCTGCAGCCTCCATGCAGCTGGTTGGGTGGACTGGCTTTCCAGTCAGCTGCTGTCCTTCAGGCCCTTCCCTGGGGACAGGCATGGGTGAAGGGGCACAAAGAGGGATGCCTAAGGCTTGAGCCCAGCCCCTTGTGCCAAAGCCAGTGCCAGTCAGCAGAGCAAGTTAGCCACATAAATGTGCTCCCATCCTCGGCTCCCAGCAGCTTTCTGAGGGGCTGTAGAATCAACACTGGATGGAACCACAGTGGTTCAAACCCACCAGCTGCTCCTCAGAAACCCTATACAGGGTCACTATGAGTTGGAGCAGACTCGATGGTGAACAACCACCACAATACCCTTAGAAACCTTGCTTTGTAGATGCACACCCAAGAGGTCGAGTGACCCGCTTGACGTCACACACAGTGAGTGTCAGGCACAGACACTGCCCACGCCTTCCAAATTCATATGGTTCCTGCTTGGCAAGACCCCCTCCCAGCTTACACCCATTGTCAACCTCTGCTCCAGGGATGGCAGCCAGATCCACGCATTGCCCGTCAGCATCCTGGCCCTCACCTCCCCTGTGCCATGCACACACAGTTCAGAGGCCAGGAGAGAGGTGCTGCACGTCCAAGGGTAGATAGCACTGCACAGAGCAGATGCCGCCCCTGCCCTCAGGGAGCCTCTAGCCCACCTAGGAGAAAGAGAGTAAACGAGCAGACAGATGGGACTGTTACTGTGTGAGGGACGCGTCCAGCCAGCAGAGCTGGACCCTCCTGATAGCATCAGGGTGGCCTTCTCTGAGACAGTGACATTTAAGCTGAGCTAGAACCATGAGACTGGAAGGAAGTTTCTAGGTCTGGGTCAGACCCATGGTGGGGTTCCTCTAGGGCATCGCCAATGATAGCAGATGGCCAGAGGGTTCTGTAACCCAGGAGCTGGGCAGCCAAGGCATGGAAAACCTGGCAAGACTGGCATTTCGGAGAGTCAGTAGACCCAGACCCTAATCCAACCTGTACCATGTGCCCACTTTGTGGTGGTGTGCCAGTTAGTCACTTACCCTTGAAGTTTCATTAATTCAGGAACGACCTCCACACCCATCCATCCTGTCTTCATCCTAGTGCAGCCATAACACCAATATCACAGGGGGCTGGCTTTAAAGAACAAAAGGTCATTTTCTCCCAGTTCTGGAGGTTAGACGTGCCAAACAAGGTCTTGGCCATTTGGTTCCTTCCTTATCCTTAGCCCTGGGCATTTCTTGGCAATCATTGGCTTGTATCCTCTTATGTCCTGTTTTCCCCTGTGAATGTGTGTCCCTTCTGTTCTCTCTAAGAGTTAAAAGTGGCTGTTATTTAGTTTGCATCCTACTGGGATCAAGGAACCCTGATGGCACAGTGCTTACGTGCTTTACTGTTAACCCATAGGCCAGTTCACCTCCAGCAGCCACGCCCTGGGAGAAAGATGGGCCGTGTCCTTCTGGAAAGCCTTGTAAACCTTCCAGGGCAGTTCTCCTGTGTCCTACAGGCTAGCTGGGAGTTGTTATCAGCACAACAGCAGTGAGTTTGGTTTGGGGTCCTACTTGGATATGATCCCATTAGGATGACAAAGAAGACCTGTTTCTGAACAGATCAAGTTTACAGACACGGGGCCAAGATTTCTAGATGTATTTGGGGCGACATAATTCAAAATATAACCTTGAATATATCCCACCTGAATTTGGAGAACATCTGAACAACAGATTTGATACATTAGACACTAAAGACTGAAGACGAGAAGAGTTGTGGGATGACATCAAGAACATCATACAGGAAGAAAGCAAAAAGTCATTAAGAAGACAAGAAAGAAGGAAAAAATCAAAATGGATGTCAGAAGAGACTCTGAAACTTGCTCTCCAGGGTAGAGATCCTGAAGCAATGGAAGAAATAAGGAGGTACAAGAGCTGAACAGAAAATTTCAAAGGTCAGCTCAAGAAGACAAAGTCAAATACTACAATAAAATGTGTAGAGATTTAGAGTCAGAAAACCAAAAAGGAAGAACACACTCAGCATTTCTCAAGCTGGGGGAACTGAAGAAAAAATTCAAGCCTCAACTTTCATTATTGAAGGATTCTCTGGGCAAATTATTGAATGATGCAGAAAGCATCAAAAGAAGATGAAAGGAAAACACAGAGTCATTGTATCAAAAGGAATTGGTTAATGTTCAACCGTTTCAAGAGGTAGCATATGATCAAAAGCCAATGATACTGAAGGAGGAAGTCCAAGGTGCATTGAAGGAATTGGCAAAGAACAAGGCACCAGGAATTGATGGAATAAAAATTGAAATCTTTCAAGAAAGTGAGTTGGCACAGGAGGCACTCACCCATCTCTGCCAAAAAATTTGGAAGACAACTATCTGGCCGACTGATTGAAAGAGATTCGTATTCACGCCCATTCCAAAGAGAGGTGACCCAACAGAATGCAGAAATCATCGGACAATCTCTTTAATATCCCATGTGAGTAAAGTTTTACCAAAGGTGATACAGAAATGGCTGCGATCATACATTGACAGAGAACTTCCAGAGGTTCAAGCTGGATTCAGAAGAGGACATGGAATAAGGGATATCATTGCTGATGTCCAGTGGATCTTGGCTGAAAGTAGAGAATACCAGAAAGATGTTTACCTGTGCTTTATTGACTATGCAAAGGCTTTCGATTATGTGGATGATGACAAGCTCTGGACAATATTGCGAACGAAGTATGAGTATTCTGGAAACATTTAATTGTGTTCCAGATTTCATGAGAAATCTGTACATGGACCAAGAGGCAGTTATTCAAACAGTACATGAGAACTCTGAATGGTTTAAAATGAAAAAAGGTGTGCGACAGGGTTGTATTCTTTCACCATACTTATTCAACTTGTATGCTGAGCAAATAATCCGAGAAGCTGGGTTCTATGAAGAAAAATGTGGCATCAGAATTGGAGTACAGACTGCAATATACAGATGATACAACCTTGCTTGCTGAAAGTGAAGAGGACTTAAAACATTTACTGATGAAAATCAAAGAACACAACCTTTGGTATGGATTACATCTCAATGTCAAGAAAACAAAAATCCTCACCACTGGACCAATAAACAGCATTTTTATCAACAGAGAAAAGATTGAAGTTGTCAAGAACTTCATTCTTCTTGGATCAACTATCAACACTCATGGAAGCAGCAGTCAGGAAATCAAATGACATATTGCATTAGGCAAATGTGCTGCATGAGACCTTTTTAAAGTGTTGAAGAGCAAACATGTCAGCTTGAGGACTAAGGTACTCCTGACCCAAGCCATGGTATTTTCAGTAACCTGATATGCATGCGAAAGCTGGACAGTGGATAAGGAAGACCATAGAAGAATTGATGCTTTTGAGTTATGGTGTTGGGGGAGAATATTGCAAGTGCCATGGGCTGCCAAAAGAACCAACAGATCTGTGTTGGAAGAAGTGCTGCCAGAGTGCTCCTCGGAGGCCAAGATGTCCAAACTTTGTCTCTCATACTTCAGACATATTGTCAGGAGGGACCAATTGCTGGAGAAGGATATCATGTTTGGTAAGGTGGAGTGTCAGAGAAAAAGAGGAAGCCCTCCAGTGAGATGAATGGGCAAAGTGGCAGCATCAGTAGGCTCAAGCATGGCAACAATAATGAGGTTGGCCCAGGACCGGGCAGTGTTTTGTTCTGTTGTACATAGGGTTGCTATGAGTTGGTACTGACTTGATGGCACCTAACAACAGCAATTCAATCTCTAACTTTTCCAGTCTGTTTAATTCAAATAGACTTTTGTCAAGCACTGGCTTGGGGCCTGGCCTGGTCCTGGGAATATAGATCTGACCCAATCAGACTGCTACTTAAGGGTGCTCCCTTTCTAACCTGGGGAAGCCAGGCCCCAGTCTGCTGAGATGGCACCTCATGGTGAGGCCTGTAGACACCCTGGCTCCTCTGACCTGCTGTTTTCTTGCCCACTTTCACTTCCTGAAATACTTGCATGTGTCACCCTTCACTGCTGCCTTAGCTTTCTAGTACTGTTAGAACAGAAATACGACAAGGAGTGACTTTAACAAACCAACCGTATTTCTCACAATTTAGGGGGCTGGAAGCCTGAGTTCAGGGCCCTGGCTTTCTCTGTGTGTCAGCTCTGGGGGGTGACCTTTGTCCCCTTTCAGCACCCCTTCCTTGTTCCTTGGTGATCTCCACGTGGTGTGTATCTGTTGTCCTCTACCTGTGTTCTGTTCCTAGTTTCTCTGCCTAATCTGTTCTCTTTATGTCTCAGAAGTGATTGGCTGAGGACCCTCCTATGCTGGTATGGCTTCACTAACCTAACTGAGAAAACTCTACTCCAAAGTGGGAAGAAATCCACAGTATAGGGGCTACCACACATATTCTCTTAAGAACACAATTCTAGCCATTGTGACTTCCCGGCACCCCCTAGCACGTGAGCTCTGTGAGGTCAGGGCCTTGTTGCTCCTTGTCACATCAGCCCGGGTACTGCACTGAGGGAGCAGCGAGGCCCCACAGAGGCTGCTACAGCCCCTCTCCTCTCCCACCGTGTTGTCCACAGCCACGACCACCTGCTCTGCCTGGACGGAGGGGGCGTTAAAGGGCTCGTCATCATCCAACTCCTCATTGCCATTGAGAAGGCCTCCGGCATTGCCACCAAGGACCTCTTCGACTGGGTCGCCGGGACCAGCACGGGGGGCATTCTGGCCCTAGCCATTCTGCACAGTGAGGGCAGCCCCCACTTCCCAGGCGGGGTGGGGGGGATGACGGGGAGGCGGGGTGCAGCCTTCCCTCAAAGGGTGCTGAGTTTGATTTCAGAGCTTTGCACCCGAGGGCACAGTGCAGGGCAGGGCAGCGAGGGTGTGGGGGCTGAGGCTGGGGGGTGGGCTGCAGCTTGAGGCAGGGTCCTCGGGGACATCAGGCTGCTATGGGCCGGGGCCTGCACAGGGTGCTGGGGTACAGAGACAGACATCCTCTGAGTGTTTCCTGGGCTTTCCTGGGTGCTGTGGAATCTCAGGGGACAGTCACCCAGGAGGCTACTGTGAACAACACCTCACGGGCTCTGAAAAGAGATGGCTTAACTGTCTGCAAGTCACACGAGACTTTATTGTCCACTAATAAGCTTTACTAATAAGCATTTCTGTTCATTTTGCTGGTTCTCACTGTCACCCTGTGAGGTGACCAGAGTATTCCTGCCCTGGCAGATAGGAAAACTGAGGACTAGAGAGGGTCACCCACCGGTGGACCAGGACAGAGCCAGGACTGGGTCTCTGTCTGCACAGCCAGCTCTCTCCCGTCCCCACTGTGCTCACTTCCCAGCACCTTTCCTGGCCTCTGTCCTCCCAGGACCCTCATTCTCTGCCGGCCTTCCCGGAGAGAACCTGGGTCCAGCTGTGGTCAGGGTCCTAGCCTCTCCTCAGAGAAGGGAAGGCATCTTCCCTCCCAGAGTCATCTTCACAGTCCAGGGACCCTGTGGGCAGGAGCCCCCTTTCCAACTGCTTAAACCCCTCGGGGTCTCCAGCTTCTATCTTCCTTTGAGGGGAAGCTGTCCCTTCGTAGCCCCATCTGCTTGACCCTGTCTGTGCCCCGAGAGAGGACAGGACTGGCCCTCCCTTTCCCTGACAGACAGCTGTCATGTGGCCATGGGTTTCTACAGCTCAGGGGCCCTTCTTGAAGGAAAGAATACAGACCTACAGACATTGCGAGATGAGGACGAAGTTTCAGCTTTAGAAAGCATGAAGGGTTCATACCACGGTAAACGTCATCTGTGCCATTGAATTGTAAAGTTGCAAAGGGCCCTTTCCTGGTATGTTTGGTCTGCCCAGTAATGAGAGATTGAAGCACAGGACCCCAAGGCTGGCCCAGGGGGTTCCCCGCGTACCCTGCTGACCCTGCTTGCCACACCAACCCTCGTCGTAGGTAAATCCATGGCCTACATGCGCGGCGTGTATTTTCGCATGAAGGATGAGGTGTTCCGGGGCTCACGGCCCTATGAATCTGGGCCCCTGGAGGAGTTTCTGAAGCGGGAATTCGGTGAACACACCAAGATGACGGACATCAAGAAGCCCAAGTGAGTGTACCTTCTGCAGCCGGTGTCTGGGCTCAGCCTGACGGTGTTCGGGTGGGCCCAGGAGGAGCACGAGGGTCCCCCTTCCCTTCAGGAGGCAGAGGACAGAGGGTGGGCCCTCCTCTGGGCACCCAGACGTAGGCTGGTGATCCTGGCTCTTGGCCATTGTCACATGGCACCTGTCTTCCCAGTTTGTCTTTGTGTCTGTCTCCCTGCTCTTTTTATAACTCAGAAGTGATCTAGTCTAGGATACCCCGCCCCCGCATAGGTCCTCGTGAACATGACAAAGAAACCTTGTTTCCACACAGTCACTTTCATCAGCAGGGGACTGGGGTTCCAGCATGTGTTTTGGGGTGACAAGACAATCCATACACCCTGGAAGCTTCCCTAACCTAGGGAATTACTGTGCCCATCGTGTAGACGAAGCTGAGGTTTGATAACATTTTCCAGGTGGTGTAACCAGAACATCGAGGAACAGGGTGGTCCTATCACTATAGGTGATAGGCGGAAGGGAGGGAACAAACAAGGTGGTTTGTATGGGGAGAGAGCTCATGTGTGGGCAGGAGAGGACCTGGGAGGTTCTATTCCTGGCTGTCACCCAACTGACCACACGATCCCCTGCCTCTGTGAATCTGATCTGAGCTCAGCACAACCAAGATCCAGGGCAGGGTTCCTCAGGGCCAGCCACAGGGAGTGTGCAATGAGTGTTCATTCCTTACAAGAACCGTTGTCCCTATGTGAAGAGGTTGGGCCAGGTAACACCAGACATGCCTTCTCTCTGTGATGTGGTGCCGCTCTTGTGTGACCATGAACGTGTTCTTCTAAGCTCACTTCTAGACCCAGATCAGTGGGAGACTGCAAGTCCCCGTTGCTCCTTCTTGTGGATGCAGGGGGGTCACACAGCACAGAGAGTTCGGGGAGTTGTGCATAGTCACCTGGGCTGGCTGACTGTTACTGCCTGGGGGGACTTTTCCTTAAGCTCAGAGCCCATGGGGCCAGGAGGGAGAAAGGTCCACGGCTGGATGGGCTGGAGGGGTGTTCACCTCATGATGCCCTTTCTCTCTGCACTGGAACCAGTAAGGACAGGGGCCCAGGGCATCCACCTTAACCACCAAAGGGTGACCATCAGCAAGCAGCTCAGCCCTTTCCAGTCTGCAGAAGGCATCACATTCCTTGTCCCTGCATCCCAAAGTCAGTGGTCCTGTCCTCATATTATGGTTAATGGAACACAGAGAGTGAGTGGTGTGTACGAGGCCAGCTCGATGCTGGCAGCAATCCCCAGGTCAGGAGGGAGGTGTGCCCTTGGCATTGGGCACCTCACAGGACCTCTGTCTCTACGGCTCTGTTCTGGGCACTGTGTGTTCTTAGGGGTGGGGGAATGCATGCACCCAGATAAAGAGGCTGCCAGGCCCTTTTGGACAGGAGATAAATGACCTAAAAAAAAAAACAGCCAGCAGGCCAGGCAGCATGGGCTTAAGATGGTGCCAAGAGGGTTCCTACACCACCACTGCCTCTTGGAGTTGCTATTAGGTACCACCCTGTCAGTTCCATCTCATAGCGACCGTACATCACAGAACTAAACACTGCCTGGTCCTACGTCATCCTCACAGTCAATGCCGTGCCTGAGCGCACTGTTGTAACCCCTGTGACTGTCCGTCTCACTGAGAGCCTTCCTTTCTCCTGCTGACCCTCCTGACAAGTCTACAATACAAGAGATCATCTTGTCTTCTAAGGAGCATTCTGGCTGCACTTTTTCCAAGACAGCTTTATTCGTTCTTCTGGCAGTCCATGGGACTTTGCAGTATTCTTTGCCAACACCATGATAAGCTTGAGAAGAAGTCTTGGTATCTGGGTCAGCAGGTCCTACATTGTTCTTCAAAATTATTACAACTGTTCTTGAAGGCAGTATGGAGACATGGTTCAGAGCGTGGGCTCTGAAACTTCCTTTTCTTGAAAATGAGGATGGTATGGTGTCTGATTCCTAGGGCTTTGTGAGGAGTAAATCATATAGCATTACCGAATTCGGCTAATCCTCGGAGGTGGACACACCATTGGGAGGTTCTGGGATGACTAAGTGGTGAGGAGTCCCAGTGCGGCACTGTAGGATGAACATTGGACTGCTAACCACAAGGCCAGCAGTTCGAACCCTATACAGGGTCACTATGAGTCAGAACCAACTTGACAGCTCTTAACTACAGTGACTTATTATTAAAATGTTAAACAACAAAGATACCAGTTTGAGGTCTAAGGTGCACCTGATCCTTAGCCGTGATACTCATGTGAAAGCTGGACAGTGAATAAGGAAGACTGTAGAAGAATCGTTGCATTTTGAGTTATGGTGTTGGTGAAGAATACTGAAAGTGCCATGGACTGCCAAAAGAACAAACAGCTCTGTATTGGAAGAAGTGCAGCCAGAATTCTCCTTAGAAACCAGGATGATGAGACTTTGTTTCTCATACTTTGGACATACGATCCAGAGGGACTAGCCCATGGAGAAGGACATGCTTGGTAAAGTGGTGGGTCAGCAAAAAAAAGAGGAAGACCCCTTCCCCAGCAAATGAACTCAGATGTCACAACAATTGTGCAGAACCAGGTCATGCGGTGTTCCGTACTGTTATGCATAGGGTCGCTCTGAGTTGGAACTGACTCGATGGCCCCTAACAGAGTATTACTAACTTTTAATGTCTTGCTGGATCCAGTTATCAGATGTTTCCTTTAGGACGAGCCTAGTACTTAGAGAACGTTAGAAGAAAGCCTGAGAATGAGGGAGCGGATTATTGATTTTCTATTATTTATAAATATCTGTAAATATGTGGGTGACCTTGATGGGAGTGTTGCCATTTATATGCTGCTCTTGTTGGGTTTAGGCCTGGAGCCTTATGCAGTGAGGAAGTGAGTCTCGTTTGCTGTTTTTTGGGACACGTGGAACAATAGTGGCTTTATTTCTGTCTCATCTGTTTGGTAGAGAGCTTGCCGGTGAAGTCAAGGAGGCCGGGAGTTTGCTTCGTGAGAAGATTTTCAGTGGTAGAATCAAGTTCTTTAATGGTTAGGAGCCCTTTCAGGGTTTCAAAGTATATTTCCTAGTTACTTTTTGATTGTTTTTCTAGAGATTCTTCTGTTTTTTCTATAGGTTTTCAAATTTATTGACTTAGAGTTGTTCAGCACATCCCCTTGTTTTCTTTTAATGTCTACAGTGTGTGTTGTGCTGTTTCATGCCCAAGAATTTACACCTCCTCTTTTTCTTCTTCATCTGTCTTGTCGCAAGTCTCTTGATTGTATTAGCCATCAATGGGAATTGACTCATCAGCAGCTGGTGTGGGTTTTCTGGTTCAGCTATTTTAAAAACCAACTTTGGGCTATATTAAATCCTTTTATTGCATGTTTACTTCCTGTTTCATTAACTTCTGCTCTTATATTTTATTCCTTATACTTTCTTTGGAGTCCTGGGGTGGCACTATGAGGTAAGTACTGGATTACTAACCGCAAGGTCGGCAGTTCACACCTGCCAGCAGCTGCCACTCTTCGAAAACCTGAACCAATTCGACAGCATTAACAACAACATACTTTCTTTGGGCTTTATTTGACTTTTTTTTTTTTATAAAAGACCTTGAAATAAATATTTTGCTTGTTCATTTTTAGACTTTTCTCTAGAAGTTCTAATTTCTCTAAGCACTGCTTTATTTCTATCCCATAAGCATTTTTACTATCATCCAATTGAAACTATTTCATTCATTTTCATCCTAGTCTCTCTTTGTTTATACTGATAGAGATGCATTTCTCAATTTCTAAACTTAGGGGAATTAATCATTAATTTATCATCATAAACTGCACTGTGGTCAGAGGACGTGCTGTGTGGGATTTAAAAAACCCATTGCCACTGATTTGATAGCCGACTCATAGCAACCCTACGTGACAGAATAGAAACCCATAGGATTTCCTCAGCTGTAATCTTTGTGGGGGAGTCCTGATGTAGCACTGTAGGATAAGCACTAGACTGCAAGATCAATTTGAACCGCAAGGTCAGTGGTTACCAACAACAACAGTCTTTATGGGAGCAGGGCACCATGATGTCCTTCTGAAGAGCAGCTGGCCTTTGGGTTAACAGCCAAGTGCTCACCCACAGCACCGCCAGGGCTCCTCTGTCTGATGTACTTCCTTTACAGTGTGTTGGGACATGGCTTGTCGCCTCCTGGGGTCAGTTTTTAATGTTCCGTGAGGGTCACTATGAGTTGGAACCGACCGGCCAGCACCCAACAGCAGCAATAGTTAGTCTACAGGAAGACGGATGCTGTGTGTGTCAGGTGCCAATTTCTGCACCTGCCCACTAGGTCATGTGGCTAAGACTGTGGCTCCTCCAGATCCCTACAGGATCTCTGTCTGCTGCTGGTACTGAAGGATAAGCACTGAACTTCAAATGGCAAGGTTGGCAGTTCAAACCCACCCGCCTCTCCTTGGGAGAGAGATGAGGCTTTCTGCTCCTATAGAGTTACAGTCTCAGAAGTCCTAGAGAGTCACTATGGATTGGCATTGGTTCAGTGGCAGTAGGTTTGGGTTTTCTATCACTGACGGAGCAAGCTAAGTTGGAATCTCTACTCTGGGGACTTACAATTTTTATTCTTCAATCTTGTAATTTTTCTTTTAAGTATTTTGCATGCATTTAAATTTTTATGGTGACCGGACCCTTTTAATACTAGGAATGTTTTTTACTTTAAAGTCTGTTTTGTCTAATATGAATACCTTTATACCAGCTTTCTTTTGGTTATGGGAGCAGGACACCATCCTTTAATGCAATCTTTTAGAGTCCTTATGTTTGAGTTGTATCTCTTATAAGTAGCAGATAGTTAGACTTGCTTTTCATCAAATCTCTTACTCTTTGATCTTACCTGGAATATTTGCTCCATTTGTAGATTTCTAATGTGGCGCTATAGAATAAGCACTGAACTGCCAGCCACAAGGTTGGTGGTTCAAATCTACCAGCTGTTATTCAGAAACCCTTTATAAGG